TGAGCCGCCACCAGACCCTGTTGGGTCTGAGGAGCATCTCCACCACGTTTGCAATAGTTTGGAAGACCAGATCCTGCACCCACGCTGGACCTGACCTGCCTGCTGCCAGCAGGAGCTGCTGGAGACACCACCCTGTCCATCACAAGGGTCTAGAGATCCCCGAGCTGGAAGCAGGAGCAGCTTTGCTGGTTGATGTTCACCTACCATGAAGGAGCTGTACGGCGCGGCCCCAGAGACGCTGCTCGGTGGTGGAGGTACCGCGTTGGAGGAGGCAGGGAAGAGGCCAACCGCAGCCAGGTTAAGGCCAGGGATGAGGTGAGATTGCAACTGAGAGCAAGATGAGAGAAACGCGTGTTGCTTTCACCAGGGCATCCTCCTGTAGAGCTCCCATCAGCTTAGACAAACCCCACTCACGCTCATGGCAGCCACGTCGTTCTCGTAGGCTTCCCTCACTTTCTTCATGATCTCCTGCTCTGCTTTGCAGCAGTTCTCAATGGACCCCTTCACCGTGATGGTCCTTTCGGGGTTGTACAGAGTCAGGTCCTGCAAGCTGGTGAGAAAGCCAGCATCAGTGCCAAAACCTGCGCTACACCGGGTCCTCTGCTCCTTCTCATGGGTGCTACTGGGGTGCTGGGTACCAAGGGTACCACTGCTAAAGGGCACCAGAACTGCCTGGTCCCAGTCAGAGCAGGGACCAGCATCGTGGTTTGTACTGGGAAGTCCACTCTGTCTTTCCCAAACACACGATTTAATAGTAAAACCCCAGTTCTGGGGATCAAACCAGTGGGTCTTGAGCTCTGCAGCCCTGGAGGGATGGGAAGGGGACACCAAAGAGAAGGGAAGGGGGATACAGAAAATACAAAGCCTGGCTTCCCATCCGACCCGCTCCCATCACATCACCCCTCCTCATCCTCATCCTCCCCACCCGCCCCGGGCTGAGGAAGGTCTGCCCAGAGGAGCCTTACGATGAGATGGTGATTTTTGTCTCCGTGTCCTGCTCCACTTTCTTCAGGTTTCGCCCTTCTTTGCCGATCAGGCGCCCCACAAAGTTGTTATGGGCCAGGATTTTCAGAGGCACTTCGTCAGCTCTTGGGAGAGGAATGGGGGAAAACCAACATGAGGATCACTGCAGCCAGAAGAGGAAGGATTTGGTACAGAGGGATGCGGGGAGCTCAAGTCCCCTTGCTTGGAGTCCCCCAGACCAAAGCTCCTGCACACACGGGAGCACCACGAGGATCGGGGTGTTAGGATGGTACCACAGCCTAGTGAAGAGGGATACACATGCACAGAGAGACAGGGGGAAACCTTACGTCTTGGTGTCCTTTGCCTCCTTCTGCATGATCTCCAGAATCATCTTGCAGGCAGCGGAGCAGCCCTCAGGGGTGGAGTGGATGCTGATGGCTTTTTCCGCGGCTCCTGCATTTTCTTTCCGGTGCACGTCAATCCTGCAAGCACAGGGGGGGAGCTGGGGTGGAGGAAGCAGCTCTGCAGCTTCCCAGCAGCACAAGTGCCGGCTGCTCCGCTCCCAGCGGAGCCCACGCTCGACTGTAAGGTTATATGCACTCAGGGAAGGCAGGAGGAGTTAATTCTGGGCTCGATGCTCAGCGTGGACGCAGTAGTTAGGAGCTCAAATCACACGAACCCAAATAAGGCATCGGCATGTATTTATTTTAAGCAACGGGAGTGATGAAGTGGTGGAAGAAGCACGTGCCTGGGGGTCCATCACTCCACGTCTTAGATAAAGCCTTCCTTGGGGGACACGAGCCGGAGCCAACATAAGCTCAGGGGTCAAATGCAAGAGCAGAGGGGGTGAAGCTCAACAAGAACGTGCTAAATGAGACTGACTGAAGCAGCGGCTTCCCCACGTGCTTGCGTGGGTCCCATCCCACCCAGGGTGGTCCCAGCAAAGGGAGACACATAGGGAAGTGCAGACAGAAAGCCTGGCTGGGGCAGGACATGGGAAGGTGGCTCTTGGACACGCTGCCCTGCACGGCACAGAGGAGCTGGAGGGGCCTCAAACAGCCCATGCTCCA